ATTGCGCTGTGCTATAATAACGCAACCAAGTTCCTAATTCCAGCACATCCTGCCGATGATGTTGCAGTTCAAGTCATCGAAAATACCGAGTTCTCTGCCCAAGACTTTGACGAAAATAACGACTCAGCAATAAATCACCCTGATACGCCATAGCAAACAGACTACTGAGCAGATTAAGTCAAAACTGGAGACCAGGAGACTGAATAACATGAGACGATAGTTGGCAGTTCAGGTGGCCTATTCCATGCCCCCAAAGCTATTGCCAACAGAAAACCTTTAAAATGAAGAAAAGAGCGGTAATTGTGCCACCGTGCATGTAACTTAAATAGCATGTCATGTGTTCATGCAGTATAGGTAAAAAAGGCCACACTATGGTCTTTGTTGACATTATAAACTAATATTTTGAACCACCGATTCTCTAAACCGGCGTTTCATGCAGGAAAAGAATTTTCACTTAAATTTTCGTCCGGTGGGCTTGTTCAACAGTAATAACTTTCATTTAGGCAAAGTTTTAATTGCAACAGAGGGCTATTGTATTCGTTAGCGTATGGCTCCTTGTAATGCCTCTCAAGTCCCCCGCTTCTAGGCGCCCGAAATTCCAGGCTGCGTAGGTTTTTGAAATATATTCAACTGATTATAGTATATTTACACACGTTAATAAGAGGTTGTTCGATAGATCATATTATGACCCTTAGAGTATCCGAAGTTTGCCTGGGCATTTCGTAGGCCAATTAGTGGAATAATTTTGCCAGAACACAATTCCATAGTGCGAATCAAGTTGATATTTTCTGAAAATGGTTCTTTATTCACAGGGAAAAGTTCGGTTTCACACAGTGAGATCCCGAAACGGTTGATTGTGGATATTAAAAGAACAATGTAAATGCATGCTGGCAGTATTTCCGTGCTACCTTCAGGAGTTCCTTCGACATCTGACAGTTGTACATGCACTGATTTCTGTCTTGACAAAATTTGGCTTATTCCGCAATGCGATGATACTCAGCCGCCAAGAGAATGGGACACGGGCCATTGTGATTCGTTTTCATTGCAAACTACTCATGAGTAGCATTCACGTAGTTGAATTTTTCCTGATTTGATGGATCGTGATTGCCTGTCGATTTTTCCTCGTTAAACGACTGGTTTCGGAAGACTATTTTTTTAATCATGTGATCAGTTCTTCACTGTTGACTAATCATTTACGACTGAATTCTTCCCAGTTCTCATTGGTATGTCAAAGAATATCGGTATAGCAATCCCACTGATACTTGCTTTTTGGTCATATGGCAGACACAGCACCCATGAACGATAACAGATTTCCGAGACGATAAAATACAACAAGATTTAAACACCATTCACTAGAGCACACTGGAATGTTCAAGCTCAACAAACGGTATAGATGAGATGAATGCATCTGGCCACATGTATGCCACGCTGTTGACCGAGTAATTGGAGTGGAAATTATCCGCGTATTTGAGGCCTAACGCACCATGGATGGGGGGCGGGTAAAAGCTGAAGCATTGTCATTTGCTCATTGCGGGGAACTGCAGCATCCAAGAGACCACGAAGTCCTATAGCTTTAACAAAGCTTTCTTTAGAACACAACTATGGTAGCGTGTGTAGACTTTGTGCCCGTATATAGCCAAGGGCACTGGAAAGGGTGCAATATTCAGTGGTCAAACGAAATGAAATGATTCTCCTATCACATCCCCGAAGGGAGCATGCCTATACTATCTGACAAGACGCAGTTTGAGGAGATCTCGGGGCAACATGTAAGATATACAAAGGATTCCCTAGAAAGTGAACTGATATCTCTCATCTCCTCAAAACAAGAGGCCGTAAGATGAGCCTTGAAAAATTGAGCAGAATTCCGTCTGTGGTCGTATATTTCTCCACCTGATTAGTGAGTTTTTGTAATGAATCAGTACATATGTTGGTGGCACGTGAATCAGTTGCGAGTTTCAAACTTATGTACAATGAGCAAGTTTATGTTCGCAGAACTGCTGTGCTCAAACGTTTCCAAGTAATGTACTGACCGCCCCTGGGTTGTCTCTATCCGACAATAGGCAGGGCAGAGAGGGCTGTACGAGGTGAACGGTCTAACTGGTGTATTTTGACCAGCTGGTCTATCCAGTGTGGATGAACTCTCTCGAAAATGATCTGACGTGCTTTGGCATTACTGGTCTGGTGTTCCCTCCAGAATCCCGCAATCCTCCTGAGGAATCTATGGTCAAACACATAGGGAATTCACTGATCTACATGTTTAAATTTAAAACAAAGTGTAGTGCAATGCATTTCAGATGTCATGGGTGATCTTCAGGGAATTCTGTTTTCACTCATTTGGGAGCGCCTAGTTCAATTACGCCGATTTAACTTTGGCCTTTCCCAATTACAGCGCATTGAACCTAATTTGTTCATTCAAGTAGAATGAGAAGGACTCGGCACTAAAAAATCATCAAAAAACATAATAGTGGGGACTGATTTAATTGAATTTGTACTCTACAGTTCGTCATATGTTGTCGGTAGACTGCCCTGGTGACAGCAGCCGCGGAAATACAGCGGCAAAATCATGAGGACAAGGAGTTTATAATTTGTCTACTAATGAGTAGTATAGATAAAAACTATTCTTCACAAAAGATTCAAAATCCCGGACTTTTGCCAATTCATTTGTAGATATAGGGAAATTTCAAAAGCCAAGCGAATTAATATTCTGGCTCTACTGCCTGGTTAACGTGGATGGACAAACGGTTAGTCACTCAATGATGCGTGGAAAAATTGTCGTCTAATTTTTTGCGGTAACCTACGACCAAGCAGCCCTGAAAACCATTCAGACCTAACGCTCAGTTAAAGCATGTCCGTAAGATGCCTGGAAGGTTCAGTTTTCCGAAACCGAACAGCAACCAACGACAACGACTGCCACACGCTTCAGCTGGAAAGAGAAAATCCAGGAGACACCCGGGTTCGAACCGGGGACCTCTCGATCTGCAGCCGAATGCTCTACCACTGAGCTATGCCTCCGACAGTGGGGGCGAATATCATGCAATATGATGATAGTCGTTCACACTCCAATGCAGTGGTGGCGTTCGAATGGTCATGTATGGTCACGAGGCAATTGAAATCCGCATGTACGCCAGCTAAAATGGCAATCCGTACTTGCCTGGCCTAATCACCCAGTGTCTTATAATCACCAAATTCAGTTTTTTATATTAGGAAATAAGACTGCGTTCTACTGCTAGCTTGTCATAATTTCACAGTTTATAAGATAAGCTTGAACGGCCTCTGGGACCATAGGGCAGTAGGGTGACACCCCGCTGTGGTGATGTTCAGAAAACATATTGGACTACGTATTGGGTACAAAACTGAGAAGATGAGACAGAATTTTCACGACTAGTAAGCATGACACGCCGACTCATTTCCAAAGTGCAGAAACAGCATCTGGTTATTAGCTTGACGTTGCGCAGTACCTGAGGAAGTGGTTTATGCAATATTTCTTGAGTAACAGTAAGTTTGTGGTTAAGAGCTCGGGACAAATAGTCAAGTTACACAGCTGTACTCAGAACAGTATAAATTTTGTGTCCTGCTTCCATGAGTATTTCAGGGGAGAATCAGTATGCTACCCATGAATTGGGAAAGGTACTTGAGAAGGTCAATTTGCAGTGTGACACAATGTCAAACGGGGGCAGCAATTCTGTCCTTGGAAACACTCAACCCAGTTGGGCCTACCTTCACTTGTGACAGGAGTTTGTCATTAGGATTTATGAAATTACTCTTATTCCATCTACTTACCATAATAACCGTGATAATTTCGCGGATACTGTGGTTCCCTAGTATGGTTCGCCTCTGGGATCCGGTCAGAGAATTCCCTATTCTCAAGGTAGATTAAATCGATTCAAATGTTCAACTTTTTGTACATTATACTCTGCATATCTGTATACATTACATATGTGGTACACGTAACATACCATGTGGCGCACACAATAGGCACTGAAACACCGTATGTTAGCAGGAGCATCAGTGCCAAACTCTGATTATCCTTTACGGCTCAAGCTTGAGACTTCGGTTTTCGGGTCTTCTAATCAACCAAACGAGTTTTCTTTAGGTCCTGAGAGGAACGATTACCATAATTCCTATTGCGTTGATCACCTAGCTCGGTTGCCGGTTACAAGACGTAGCCTCCATCACGCCTTATAAACAATATGCAGTTAATCGGGAATTTAGCTGGGATTCATAAAGTAACACTTCATTGCCTCCGATAAAGAAACTGTTCTGTTCTTTTGGATTTAAGTTGAAGAGTAAGTTAGCATTCGCAATAGGTGGTCCCGTAAATGGGGCCACTTGATATTGATGCATTTCTGATCGAGTTTTGCTTCTATTTTTCGTATATTAATCTCAAGGGAAAAACTTTGTATATTAGAAGGTTGGCGATGTGATTCGCTACGTGACTGCAGGATTGGCTCTGTCAATTCCAAACGGAGTTACGGATTCCTGGATTCGAATTTGTTCCAGCATTCGCGGACCAACCGCTTTCTCATACCTATATATATATATATATATATATGTATATATACCGTCATATTACTTTGCATGATTGTGAGTGCGAAATTCTAAAACATTAAATTTAGAGTTCTAAACTGAAATTTTACTTATGTTGTCAGTAGTTCTGCTTATATATACAGCATCCACCTCTGTGGGCACCACTTTTCTTCACGGATGTTAAGTTCCAGTTTCACAGGTTGCACCCAAATCACCCAAGCGGTTCGGGTGAGTCAAAATCTGGATCGTCAAACACGACTGAAGCATTCTCTCTTTCATCTTTTGTGGTGAAGATGATGTGTGATTCCATTATGAACATATTATTTTGCTATCGAACAAGTACGAACTAAACACTATCTCTAACTTAGGCCGCCACAGCACTGTCAGCAAAGTTTGGTTCGTTCTCGCTTAAGGTATCAAAAGAACAAACTGTTTCATCAAAAGCGGCAAGTAGTCGACCACATTAGACTTACCTTGCTGGTAGCTTCAACAGAATTCGGGATTTTGGTGGAGGTTTCGCCTCGTAAGTGGAGCCGGTCTATGCTGAAAAGTCCAGCAGCACGGTGCAGCTGATTCCTCCATTTTTTGGAATAAATAGAACTGAGCTTCAGTTGAATCTCCGGGATCGTCAAAGCCAGCGAGTTCACGGGCGGCAACAAAGGCCTGGGTCTGCAGGCTACCTCCAGCCGTAGCAACTAGTGTAGGTAGAAGAAATCATGTTTATGCTTTTTTAAGCTTGTGACATGTGTGATCTACCTTGCAAAAAGTTTACCCGTCGCACTGATGTCTGGCACGGGGCGGCTTAGCATCGACTTCCCATTTTCAAGAGGGGTCCTAAGCCGTCTGTTTGAAAAAGGGGTTGGATCCTGGGCTGGTCCATTAGATTCTCCAGATAACAGATTTTGATCATAGAAATTTTCAGTTCGCATGTGCAGTATACTTATGTGACAAACTTTAGACACAGTGCGGCTGACAAAACTGACCAGAAGCACCCTCGGTAGTGTCCGAAGACGAATTTAGAATTAATTTTATTTACAATGCTTCAACTACTTAAATTATGACTGCAATAAGAAAGGGTTATTTGACAAGATATACTGCAGTCCGACTGATCAGAATAATAATGGGTTACCTGAGGGTTGGTAAAGGTTTCGAACACCCATATAATCATGTGTGATTTGTATAGCGTGGCGGTCCATCAAAACCTAGGCAGTGGAGAGTATAAAAAGGATGTCCACTCCTGCAAACGCACAACCTAAGTGCCGTACATTTATCCGAAACCGTTTGTACGGTAGTCGGACTACGGGAGTAATATGGATTACGAATATATGATAGCCAAGTAGCCTTCCGATTTGGTCTCAGATGAGGTACACTTTGGGACTTCAGTGCATATTCAGGCATTCTCGAGTCAAAAGCGCAGCAGGCATCAGACAGACAACTACCTGAATGTACACTTCATAGACCGTGTTCAAATACCAGCACTCTTTTGATTGGTGGAAGATACTGCTCGAGAAAGAACTTCTTCAGTGATTTGCTATTTCCAGCCTAGTAACTGTTCGGACGATTAAACCTGTTAGATTGTCGGGTAAAACGGCACAACCGAAAACTCCACATTCCAATGTAACTTATCTCGATTCATTTATTTCGTTTAGTTCAAGAATTGTTCAGGGTGCTATTGAAACGGTAAGTTCTTCGGTTTCAAAAACCAAAAGTTTAATGCGTGATAGAGATGAAAGTACGGCGAGGGTCACACTTAAAGCTCAAACTAGATAGATCAAACAACAGTCGAGTTAAAGGGCAGAAAGATGTGTAGCAGACTCTAGCATTCTCTGCAAAACCGGTCCTCAATCCTGATCGTGCGCTTCAAATCGGGACGACGTTAAAAAAATCAAAATGCAGAGGGTGAAATGGGTAAGGTTTCAAGCGAACAGTTGTTACACATTTTCAATGCAAAAAAAGAACTCAAGAAGATAGAAACGTAAGATAAATTCCGCTGTATCAAGGAACTGAGAAGACCTTCAAATTACCCAAATTGGGGTTTAACTCCAGCTCGTAAGAACGCGGCTTTATGAGGAAAACTGTGGTTTTGGTTTGCTCATCATACTGCCATAAAACAAAAAACATTAGTTTAGTTGCCATGCTAAGGCCATCAAGATCAATTAAATGGAAAAATTCAGTGAACATGCTAGTCATCGATTGACCTTTAAAGGGAGCATGGATGGGTATGAGCCGTTAAGATGCTTGTGGCCGTGCCATTCGGTGCATCAGAAGGTTGAATCTCCGTGCAAACTGATTTCGTGCGGACAGCCCGGGATTACTTAGTCTAATGCAGATTACCTCAGCAAGACTTGGCAATTATATTCTCGTGGACTCTGAAGGCGTAGGAAAAACACGGCAGGTGTTTATAATCCACTTTGCGGTTTTGAATATAACTGTGTTTGCTGTGTGTACTTCATCGGGGTAAGGCCCAAGAGTCACTTCCGATATATATCTATTATTTTAGCCAGTTTATAATGCTTGACAAGTCCAAAAAAATACATAGCATCTATGGGATAAAATTGAATTAGAGAACCACAAGTTCTTTCGTGTTGTAAATCGCACTGCCACCTTCGAATGGGAAAATGCACATACACATACACGGAGTAAACCTTCGCTTCTCGTTCAGTCGCACCATTTTTCCTTTACAAAACGAAGTTGGTAACAGTGCCACGAAATGCCTTCAATGGATGTATTGCAGATAGAATAAATTTTCCATTGTCCCATAAACTGATTATTAAATCAATCCATCCTGTATTTGAGTCCATGAAGTTCCTTTGCTTGTCACATACAGACTCATTAATGTACGTGTGATGTGAAGAAATTTCGCTGGCACGTAGATCGAGTATTCGGTAGCGTTAAAAGGCTCAAAATTTTCGTTTACTCTCATTTCCATAGTCTACAAGATTGCTACTGTTTGATCAGTTTGCTGTTGTTCAGTTCACCGAGCTTCGCAACCTGCTTGAATGGTAACAAAGAGAAAATTAGTTACTTACAAAATAGAAAGTAGTCAGGTTTCTTGATAGCCTAAGGAGGTTCGAAAATTCCGATCGATATTTTGTTTTGTAAATACAGTCGGTTTATGTCTAAAAGCAACGAACACCGTACAGCTGTTTCGGCTATATTTGAAATCATCAGCATAGCGATTTTTTCGGACACCTGGGAATGTTTCAGTCAATATCTACCGGTTGATAGCTAACGACCATGCCATTCGACTAGGCTTGCTGAACAGTTTGGGCTATCATATTGTTTGACAGAATTTTGGACATACAAGCCCTCATAGGGCAGTTTCATGAGTATGTCTCGAATGTCTAGGACGGTGTCGCGATTTCGTACATCCTATGTGGCACGTTGAAAAGTCCCGGATCTTCGTAAGCAGTCAGAATTTACTTCACCCTAGCTGGGTCAGTGTTTTTGTACAAGTCTCCCCCTAAAATACCTCAGTATGCATACGTTGTAGTTTTCCATTTGTGCCCGAGTTTCACAAAACAACCCACAAGTTCTACTGTTGTGGGTAGGCCTTTATGTGTTTAACTTAATAAAGGGGACCTGGACACTAAGTTTAATCGTTTCCGGTCCGCAAACTTTGCATCGCTTTACACAGTCTCATTGATTTCCTGAATGCATTAACTGGAGTTATCATTTCCTCCAACGACCACAATTACTTCTTGGGCAGCAGATATTTTGCATCGCTTTACACAGTCTCATTGATTTCCTGAATGCATTAACTGGAGTTATCATTTCCTCCAACGACCACAATTACTTCTTGGGCAGCAGATATGCGCGCACAGGGTTCATACCAACAGGGGCAGTGTTAACCGTCGTTAAATGAGGAAAACAAGGCCAAGGAAAATTATTAGTAGTATTTATAGCATGCTGCTTCGCACTCGCCTTAGAGTCGTGATTAAGTGAATACGTCTCGAAGTTATCGGTTAGGCACATGCTACTGCGCAGTCCCTAGTCTGAGTGCTGGCGCCTGCAAGATAAATGACACGCTTAGCTTTTAAAGCAGCTGGTGGGACTGGTCAGATTTATTCATCATGCATATCCGAGCCTCGGATCACCCGTTGTTTCTCACACGGTCGTCTAGGAACATCCTACCATTTACTTCTTACAAGGTTACAGTGAGCCTCAAGTGATGATACGTAAGACGAATGATGAAATCGCACAAATGGACAGCTATTCCTCTACCTTTTTCTTTTCAACTGCCCCGGGGCGCTCTGTCAGCATCTAAGATATCGTACTATGCGAAGCGTTTCCAAAGACTGAGAATTCTGTTTGCATTATTGGGTGTTACGGCTTCCTTGGTCCTTGTATTCTTCCACCTCTCCGTCACGAGAATCTTTTATTCCTTCGCACAAACAAACATTGCTAGCTTCTTTTTGTCCAATCCTGAAACATAGACAAATATGGGCTCATTCTATCCAGATTCTATTTAGAGGTCAGGGTCAATTTCTGCCATCTCCTTTATCATTTATGTATTGCTTTGAGCATTGTCCCACTTCTAGGCGATCTTTCTGTCCCCAGCATTACGTGAAATAAATCCCGTTTTTTAAAGGCGCTTACCAGATCTGATTTCCATGTTTGCCGAGTTAATTGCCATTGCATACGCTTGACACGCAACCAATCTTTACCAAGTTTGTTTTCTGTGGGCCTGAATGAAAATTCATGTGGAATTTGTTGAAACTTGCATTTGAAGCACCTTGCTCCATGGAGTGGGCAATGAAAGTGCTATTATCAGGCAAGTATGTCGAGAGCACCCTGGAAAATTCATCTTGAACTTCGTGCAGTAAAGTACCATCAAGGAGTACGAGCTTCGTCTTTTTTGAATAATCACCTTGAAGTTTACATCTAATGGTCAACTCCGGTGCATAGAAGTTATCCAAGCATATTATAAATACTCGCATGCGCAGGAAGGATGTGTTAGATCAGCACACATGAGACGTTTTTTATTTAAGCTTGCCCATTAAGGGAGGTTTGCTTTTCCCCTACCACTCCTACGCAGGAGGAAGTTGATGTTTGCGTACCCTAATTCTGCTGACTTCCTCACAATCTGTTTCCAACATTTTACGCGACAAAATAGAAAATTACACCGTGGTTCCATCAGCGTTCAATATTTTACCTTGGTCCAATCTAACTGGGATAAATTTGTGAATTTCATCTATATCATTTTAAAGGACGTTCTTTCCATCTCCGCACATGTGACTAAAATTTCTGTAGCAACATCGACGGTAAACAATAAAATTGTAGATACCTGAGCCATACCTCATCCTCCAAAATAAAAAAAACTTTGCGATAACCGGAAGGTTGCAACTCCCATGTTTCATGCAATTATCACAGATCATATCCACGATAGATTATGACTGAGATATTAAAGGGAATCTCTTCTATCCTCTGAAATCATTGAAAGGTGGCGCAGCTGATCCTTCAGAAATTTTGGCTCATTCTTATGTGGGATGTACTCAACGGTGGGTCACTTTCAATGTGTTACTAAAGCATTTCCTCAAAGGATATGGCGTTCTAAATAGTTATCTGACCTACGTTTGGAGGAGGTTCCACAGACGTTTGAGTAGTTCCTGGATGAAATAGCCTCCGTAGAATTGTTACCCTTTGGAACGTCACTCATTTTCACATGTGGTATTCCCACGTTAGTGTTAGGAGTCAAAACGTCGAATGGAAGGCTGATCGCCTGACTGGGTCGTAGTAGGGTTTGTCTGATCCAATTAGGGACACCCCCGCTGCGACTTGCCTGTCAAACCACTGTGATTACTAGCAACGAGACGTGGAATGTATTAACTAGCCTGTAGGCATCCACGTAATTCAGGCTGGAGATGTAATCCTTCGGCCAAAAATGGACCAGTGACTTCTTATCAGCCCATCGAAAGTAATCTATAGAACCTACTATTTCTTTGGCAATTTCGCGTTTAAGTTTTTAACCTAAGTTCCATAAGAAACCGAACTGAGTTGACCGATTCAATATGCCAGGCATATTCGTGGCTCAAAAATAGGAGCGGCTATAATATGGACGGAAAAGGCGGAAAAGGGCGACACTTGGAAGCAAAAAATCTACTCACGAATTGATGGCTAGTAGACGTGGCGTAACTTTGTGTGGAAGCATTCTGATAAATTTTGCTGATTTTTTTTAAATATCCACACTTCGCATGTTATCTATATCCTGTGCATTGTTTAGTGAGTGAATACGAACTATCATCCATGGCTCTGCATGATCCTTAATATCTGAATAAATTGCTACAAAAACCTCGTCATACTTATTGGGAATCTATCTATCAGCTATTGATTATTGCAGCGTTCATCAGCCGAATGGCTGACAACTAAATCAGGTGCGCTAGGCTGCGCGTTTTTAACAGCCTCAAATAGATTGGCGGCCGTAACATTTGGTTTTCATCTTAAAGTGAGCTAGTTGGGCCATGACGTTCAGCACTTCCATAGTTACATTTCGCAGTAAAATTTTAATTGCATTCACAGTGCTTGTGACACTGCTGAAAAGATGCATTACCATTACATCGCGCACCCTTAAAGTAACAGCTTTTGCTCTGCTCTTGGCGTGCTACATATTGTAGAACTATTGTAGACATATTTAGGGGAAATCACGTGTTGAATGTTTAATTTTGCTCGCTAACAAAATACTGCATGGTATCAAGGGGTCTCTTGCCATGATTTTTGTTAAACCATTCTACGTTTTGATCAATATTATTGAGAAAACATGTTCGCTAGATCTCTTTTAAACAGTCGCACTTTTCAGACCCTTTGAATGGTGCCACAATGCTAAATGTTCATTGTGGTAGTAAGATGCATGTGATTTTTTCCTAGATAACATTCTGGGATAAAATGTGGAGTTTTGAAAACTTCGAAACCATATGTGGATTAGTATGATTTTAGAAAGTCCCTGCTGCACGTCATGACGGACAAGAAAGTTACCACGTTGAAAAAGTTTTTTTTCACGTATGAAGCCTGCGTGGTGGAATTTAATGCATAGCCGTAAAGTACAACAACTTTCAACTCGCTGTTAGTGGAAGTGGCGTGTCTTTCGTTAAATTGCTAACTGGAAATCCACTACTGTGCTATTTACCATTTTTACTATAACTTCGACGATCTCGTTATCACAATAATATATATGTATATGTATATATACGTATATATATATATAATATTGATGCTTGTGGGTTATCTTCACGAAATGGATCTGGGGAACCACTGTATTCAAAGGGGGATGTTCGTCATTTTATCTCCAGCATTAATGACAGTGGCATTCTAAAACCGTTAATACTACTCACTGAAACGGTTCTTTCACAGATGGGCGAAGAGAAGTTGGCTGTATTGATGCCTCTTACATAAGATACCATTCTATAATACTTTCTTCTACGTCTACTCAGTATGCTGATCTACTACACTGTTCTTGCTCTCGATGATTTTGCAAGCTGCCATTTGACTTAGGAAATTCCCAAGTTTCAATGTCGCCCTTAGTCGTTGCCGAGTATGATGTAGTAAAATGCAACCTTGGTATGCACAACTGCGTTCGTTCTTGACTGTGTTGTTCTTTTCAGCATCTCAAGAAGCTATTTTGTCGGGCAGATCATTGCCCTAGTGTGGAAGCGAAGTTGAAGCAAGCAGTTCGGTTAGGAAATGTGGTAGACAACAAAGCTTGTTCACACAAATTGGTACCGAGTTACAATCTAATGCTAGAAAGCCATGTGCCTTTTACATTCAAGGTTGCTGTTGCAGCGGATTTTGCACTGTGGCTAGCTGATTAGGAGACCAGTATCACCAGTAACATACACCTTTACAAAAACTCCGGTACCACAATCCCTAAGAAATGCACCTCCTTACCCCAACAGGGCAGTCTCTGAGTTGGTTTACCAGCCAGCGTCCTATTAACTACTTTATTGCGGCCCGACCGGGTGGCATTGCTTACTGCACGTTTGACTGTTCCGAAGTTTGTTGAGCGCAGTGTGTAGGATACCAAGACTGGAAAACTGTCTAGCATGTGCGGAGAAAGAATGTACGGATTCCAGGACATCAACCACCCATACCAAAGTACATGGAGGCGTATCGGCAGAAACACCCTTGTGAATGTTGCTTTCTTGTGTTTCAGAAGCAACACACGACTAGTGAAAATCAATCAGGGCACCTTCACTGGTATGTTCGTCTTTTTTCAGCTGCCTTGTGCGTGCTAATCGTTTGCTCATTGGTCAACCAAACTAAACATCATTGTTCGAGGACAGTCGGCGAAAACCTCCGCAAAATACCACTGTCCATTGTATACAACCTGAACCCCCACAAATAGTCAGGCCATCTTTACTTCTGAACTATCCCATATCATAATGGGTCAGCCCAATTGGTGGAGTTGTGCATACACCTACATATGTGGCCGCACATGCGTGCGCAACCCAATGCAGTTGAACAATATTCACAGGAACCTCGAACACACGGAGGTTGCTGACCACAATTTTGACAGCACATTTCGGTTGACATTTGTCCCAAACATTAGTGAGTGAAGGGACTCATCGCACTTGGGGCACAACTGGTCCGTATAATCCAAGGTTTCCGGTTCAGTTAACTGTTTCGGTCGGCCCTCATTACTGGAATCATACGATAGTCTCGTAATTTTCCAATGATCCCGCACCAGTCTCAAGTGAAACTGGTGACTGGTTCTGAGCAAAGTTCAACTCCCTTTTGACACTCAGCATCTATTTAGGTAAGTCACATCGATTGGTGTGTGCACTAGCAAACATTATAGTTCACTGCAATGCAGCAGTACCCTCTAACGTTTCTCAGTGGGTTCAGTAATTTACTGTCACATTGTTGTTTTGTTTGGTACAATTAAAGATTTAAGGACTTGGTCCTGCGGTCTTAACAAGTTCGCTCAATAGGTTAATGCCTACCGAGTCGTACTTCTATGTTCCTTCTTATCGGGTTCAATTTGTCCAAATGCGAACCCCGGCCGCAACTAGTCTTACAGAGGGGATGAATTTTATCACACTAACATAGTCATACCATTTCAGGTCACGACAAAGCCTTGGACGATCACCTCAGTATTTCTCATCTTATTGTATTTGCATAACTACATCATAAATGCTATTTTTGTAGCAAGCTAGCAAGGACTGGCGAACATTTTCGGAATTAGAAGGAATAATTTTCACCCATTTGGTCAGTAAAAATGTAACATTCACTCGTCTCCCACATGAAATCCAACACCAGTAAAACTAATTAGTACTGGCCCAGCGGTAAGCAAGTAACCGTCAATTTAAGAGGTAAAAGGCTGTTTAAAATATGCACCGCCTGAAAATTAAGCAAACACTTGAGGACGAGAAGTCATTGAACGATAACAAGAACGGTGATCCACACAAAAGCGGTATGCGGAAACATGCACAGTTTCTTAAACTACCTGAAACGGAAAATTTGAACAGAGCCGTATTTGATGCTGATTTTGGGCACGAATTTATTCTCCTAAGTTCTTAACACAAGACAGCGAATCAAAAACTGCCCTTCATAGGGGTTCTGGGCCGAATTGGGCTAAAATGTGTCAAAAAGATTGAGCACCATATGGTGTAAAATATGGAATTTTGACTTTGCGAATTCCGCACTCTTTTTCATAATACTCGGAGCCATGTTTGTCCTCCTGTGGTGGTCGAATTATTTCAATGAGTTCAGAATGTTTCAAACATCCTAGGGAACACCCAACTAGGCGCACCTGACAGGTAGGTCAACGGATCAAAATAACTGGATCGTTGTTCGAATCGTTGGGTAAACCTGACGTAATAATTCAAGTGCACTTGGTATGCCCCAGTGCACTAGTGGCTACAAGCTTGCGACATATGCCAGATAACCCGAGATCGAATCCAGGCAGTTGCAGTAAAGTGTACGCCGAATAGCTCTATCAAATCTGAAACTTGAGTCTAGTACTTCCTTTCCTTGGAGTGCACTTAGCAGAATAACCACTTCGAAACAAAAGGAGTATTGATAATTTTACAGTTTCTTAAGTAGGATGTATGAAGCATTTGACGCGATTTTGAAAACTAAATAATACAATTTCTTTGATAAATATATCCACTGTATGATGGCCATATGACTGTTCCGCACATTTTTACTTTCTTTTTACCTAGTAACTAGTATGGGGAACGGCTGTAGCTGAGAATGTGAAGTAGAGTCTGTGCTTAGATGTAAATATCGTTGGGTTAACAGGGTTAACTAATAACTGGCACAAATTACACACAGGATTTCAAGCTGTATCCTCTCCTTACGCTTTCCCGTATGTATTAGTGAAATTAAAAACTCAAAATGCGTATTCCGATATCTCGTTAAGTAATTACACTTTGTGTATAATATCTGAGTAAAATATATCCTTGCGATTTCCGTCCTTTTGTTTCATTATTGCCTGTATCTGATAGAGAGTGTTTTTAAAGCCAAACAAGAAAAGAAGCTAAGTTGGTGGGGCGATGGGCGTGGTACGTAAAAACAGGTCAGTCGCTCGGTAGATATCCATGAATGTTATTTGGTACTTCTCCTGAAGTTCATGAATATTGATCCTAGTTAAACATTAGAGTTTTCGATAATCGAAACGACAGTTCAGCCAACCCACATGCAATTCGGTTTGCATAGATAACGGTGTTTCAAAGCATGTCGGCTTGGCCTTTCTCAATTAGCTTTCTTCGGTGGTTTATTCGGCTGACTTAGTAAGCTCTTGAAGGAAAGGGTTTCGTTCTTTTATAGATCCTGGACCTGTTGTTTTTTGGGCGCACAACTGTGAGTAATTCTGATTGCGAGTTATTCCAACTGTTGATCAGCCGCTCATGGTCGAACTGTTGAGTTGTGAATTGTGGCCAGGAGACTGTTTGGAGTACAGTGCTGTGCAGTGCTTCTCGGTTTTTCAGTATAGATTGGTTTCTCGTACAGCTGGTTTTTTCCATTTGATTGATCTCTCTGCAGAGGCTAGACAGACACGTATATAAGCACCCATCAGAAGTCTGTACCGTTTCTTCAAGATGAACTATAGCTACTTGGTGAGGTCACTGACATCTGTTCTTGTTTCAGTCTTCCTAATTTCTCTTCTAGGCAGACCAATATGCGAACCAAGTACATTTGTGAATCACTGGGACATAAAGTTTTTAAAATCATCTTCAAAGTTACTCTCCAGGGTAGCTGTCACCTGGTTGCCAGGTTTCACCACAGATATGATCCCGAATTTTCACGATCTTTCTGCAGCAAGTAATTTTGTGCTACATGGCAGTGAGGACGGGCATCTCAAGTAGAGTTCAGTCATACAGTGTCAGAATAGACTCGACCCCTGCTTGATAGTTTATCATTGCGTTTCTCAGATTTCCTGGTGTGTGAACTGATCATCAACACCAGTTGGAGGGTGTAAACAACCGTCACGTAATGCTTAATGGTAGCATCAGAGGATTAAAAATATCAGTTGAGATTGAGAAGGCTTTTCGAATAGGGCAACTCTCGAAAAAAATGCCAGTCTATTATCCAGTTCAGTGTAGATAAAGGCGTAACTGAACAAGGTTATCCAGTAATCGGCACATTTCCTAAGACTTTTCCCTCTGACGACGAAACATCTGTATACGTTTTGCGGATTAGGTTTTTGACTTCAGAAGGAGGCTATGAAAACCACATTTTAGAAAAGTAGTGGACAGCTTAAATGAAAGTGAAATTCTTCAAAGATCTGGTGGCGAGGGATAGATAGAGGCCAGAAGTAGCTGTTTTCCGAAGAAATATGGTTTTACTGCGTAACTCACCGCGGTAATGCCCAGCCGTGCTGGAGTATCCTGTGGACTGGCTATTTTTCAATTTCTAATATATTGCCTCGGAAATACCGTTACTGAGCTTGTGATGAGCCAAGACCCATGTATTAAGCAACACATGCGATATATCAGGTAACAGGGAACTCGGTGGAGGGTACTCTTATCTTCTGGTTTAACAGTTTTATTTGCCTATCGGGCCGGGGGATTTGTGCGTTCTGATTTCTTTGCATTGGGTACCACATGGTTCATTTCGTCCTGATGGTTTGGTCTTCACTCTAATTCTGGTTCATGCAGAAATGAAAACTTAGATTTTTATAAAGCAAGGAAAGTATGTTCTTGTGTGCGTAAACTATACCGGGTAAACTGGGAATTGACAAATTCAGAGTGGATTGTTTTTCACCAAAAAATAACAACTGTTCACAGTCGTAGACAAAATTGTCGGAACGTTAAATTGTGTCACTTCACTTGTGCATTGGTTCTTCCAATCAATATGGTGCGTGCTTGCTGTGATTTACATTATCTGTGCTATCGATCTCTCCAAGACTGGGAAATTCACTACAGATCTTTCCCTCTATACGTGTTCACTCTAGCTAAGCAGCTGAAAACTTGCCATAGGGTAAATTACGTGTAAGTCAACTAACTGCAAACATCGCGTGAACTGTGACGCGAATTTTTCAAAGCTATGCCTAACTGTCCCTTCGCAGTTTTGGCTGACTATACGCGGGTTCCCGTATTCACTAGATTTTTTTCGTTCAGAGACACTGTCCTAGGTTGAAAACCACAAAGAATCAACTGTTCTAGAAATTACGAAAAAGTCTATCCATGCTTTAAGACACAAGTATGATGAGACTAATTAGCACACAGCAAAGAACGCTTTCAGGAACGAATTTTTTCAGAAACCCACCAACAATTTCTTTTTATTGAGCATATTATCTGGAAGAAGTGGTTTGCACTGAAAAATGACCTCAGCTTAGACAGTAGCAATAAAAATCAAGCGTTGCATTTTTATGAAGGATTTTGAGCTGTCCGGCTAGATGCAATTTGCTTTGTGATTCTGTTGCACTTGTAATGCCAGATATTCAATTTGCAGTTTGGACTCTGTCCGCCTATCGAATTCCATTGGAAAAATGTTTTAGGTTTAAACCACGTTAGTGGAATTCCGCTTCACGGCCAAAGATTTGAGTCAGCAACTTATACATGGCGTGTCAAAGCGTTATGTGAAACTGATATTACCGAATTTTTAAACCAGCACTTGCATTAAGGACGAAAGTCTACCAAGTGAATGTGAATGAGACTGCATGAATAAAATACTGGGGGCATCCGACAGCTAAGTAAACTGATTGTGTAGTGTCGAGGAACGTCTACCGAACTTGTAATATGAAACCTTGAGAAAAAGACCGGCACTTAACGGCTATCCAGACAAACGAGGGAGGTTAGTAAGTACATGAGTTCTGCATGGAGTTCTTGCAAAATGTACCTCGAAGAAGTCTCATAGCTCCCGCTCTGAAGTAGTTTATCAAGGGCCTAAATGTCGATGAAAGCTTTAAGGAGGCAACCAAAAGAAGCTCTGTCGGCAGATGATTCTTCAGATCAGAGAAAACAGAAGCTAGGGAAGCGGTGAATTCCACACATCACTCGTATACCATCATTTGTTTAAGCAAAATCACTGAATCTTGCTGGCAATGAATGAGTAATTTTGCAAATTTTGGCAGCAGTGTTAAAATACACCGTGCGTGGGTGAGAAAACTATAACGAGTTGATTTTAAGGACCGAGAAACTGATGTGCTCCCATCAAGTGGAATCACAATAGAAATTACTGAGAATCCTTTGCTTAGCTGTCCCAGCTCAGTTTTTTGCCTCATTGCATGACGGCCGAATACTTCTCCTTCGGCAACACAAACTCTATCGTATTTGTGTGAAATACACGTTACGTATTATTCCCCGTGTA